AATTCTCTTCTTTTCTTCCTTTTCATTTGTGTCTTCTGATGTTTGGAACTAGGAGGTTATTTGAAATTTCTTCCCTCTTGTTTCTCCTTCTGACTGTTTAGGTTGCCGTCTGGCAGTAACTGCCGTCTCTCGCCTCTCGCTCGCTCATTTAAGTTGTTTTCTCAAACGCTGTCGTTTTCAGCTGTCATCATCTTCTACCTATTCAGGGCTCCATGGTAGCCAACTACAACTCTCTGACCCTGTAATCGCTTTATATCTTTCACTTGTATTGTCCAAAAATAAACCCCGAAAAATAATTGAACAAGAAGCATGATGCAATCTCTTCGTTACGTGGCTCGCTTTTTTCAGCAAAAGCAGTGAGATTTCTTTCCAGGGTATGTTGCATTTTTTTTTCTTTTGCTCCAGGATTATGAATTGTTGATTGTTGATACTGTTCATGAACCTTGGTGTATGATATTCTAGGCTCTTTCATGCTTGTTTCTTCTTTTCATTTGTTTCTCTGTGATAAAAGAGAAAGGAGGCCATGGCATTTTTGGTAAAGCCATTCCCTGGCCAAACCTACTATAAACCCTTAACTGTCATTCCTAAACAAGTTAATAATCTTCCATTACTAAAATTAAGGGTTGGATTTCGAATTCCGAAACCAAAGCTGTTGTTTCCAAGAAGAAACTGTACAAATTTGGGTAAAAATACTAGCATTAGTACTAGGAATGCTGTTAATGATGATCAACTGGAAGAATGGGAATTAGAGTTTGTTGGAGAGCTTGATCCAGTTGGTTGGCAAGCACCCAAGAAGAGAAAAAAGCAAAAGAAATCTAGGTTGCTCAAGGATACTGAGGGGATGGATTGGTGTTTAAGGGCTAGGAAAATGGCACTCAAATCTATTGAAGCTAGGGGACTGACTCATACAGCTGAGGGTTTAATAACAGTAAAAAAGAAGAAGAAAAAGAGCAAGAAAAGATTCACAGGTAAAGATAAGATTAATAAACAAAGCAAGGAGATTGAAGAAGATGTTGATTTCAGTTTCAAAGAAGAGATTGGCTTGGAAGGTTTGGATGACAGAATTGATGATGGTACGCATGGACTTCAAGAGACGGTAAGTATGATGGCAGGTGGGTTGTTTTTAGAGAAGAAGGAAAAGACAATGCAAGAGTTTGTTCAGAAGCTAGCCCAATTCTCTGGGCCATCTGATCATAAGAAAGAAGTTAATTTGAACAAAGCTATAATACAAGCACATACTGCAGAAGAAGTGTTGGAGATTACAGCTGAGATGATTATGGCAGTTGGGAAAGGTCTGACCCCTTCACCTCTTTCCCCTTTAAATATTGCCACAGCACTTCATAGAATTGCTAAGAATATGGAGAAAGTATCAGTGATGAATACCCGCAGGTTGGCATTTGCTCGACAAAGAGAGATGTCAATGCTTATAGGTCTTGCAATGACGGCTCTGCCGGAGTGCTCAGCTCAAGGTATTTCAAATATTTCATGGGCACTGTCCAAGATTGGAGGGGACCTACTTTTCTCGTCAGAAATGGATAGGGTTGCAGAGGTGGCCCTGACCAAAGTTAAGGAGTTCAATTCTCAGAATGTTGCTAACATTGCTGGTGCTTTTGCTACAATGCGGCACTCTGCCCCTGATCTCTTTGTAGAGTTAGCAGAAAGGGCATCAGACATAATTCCCTCTTTTCAAGAACAGGAGCTTGCTCAGCTGTTGTGGGCTTATGCTTCTCTATATGAGCCTGCGGACACGTTTCTTCAAGCTATGGATACCATTTTCAAGAACACTGACCAATTTAAATGCTGCTTAAGTCATGAAAAAACTAACAGTGATGAAGAGAGCCATGTGGAAAACAGTATAAATCTTAAATTTGGAGGAGTTTCAGATCCTCCTGTACTCAGCTTAAACAGGGATCAGCTTGGTAACATAGCTTGGTCGTATGCAGTCCTTGGGCAGGTGAATCGGATATTCTTTTCTCATGTGTGGAAAACTTTGAGCAGTTTTGAGGAGCAAAGAATTTCAGAACAGTATAGAGGGGATATTATGTTTGCATCTCAGGTTCATCTGGTGAATCAGTGCTTAAAGCTAGAGTACCCACATCTTCAGCTATCTCTGAGGGGTGACCTTGAGGAGAAAATTGTTCATGCTGGAAAAACTAAGAGGTTTAATCAAAAGACTACCTCATCTTTTCAGAAGGAGGTTGCTCGCCTTCTTATCAGTACTGGCCTTGATTGGGTTAGAGAATACTCTTTAGATGGGTATACTGTGGATGCTGTTCTGATTGATAAAAAAGTTGCTTTGGAGATTGATGGACCAACACATTTCTCAAGGAATAGTGGTGCGTATTTTCTTCTTATGTAACACTGGAGATCCTTGATTTTAATGAAGCTTGAGTATAAGTATAATAACTTGATGCTTGACTGTCCAATTGATCTGCTTCTGCCTCTCTGCAGGAACACCTTTAGGGCATACCATGTTGAAACGCCGCCATATTGCTGCTTCTGGTTGGAAGGTTGTATCATTGTCACATCAAGAGGTGGGTGTGTGTCTTTCACTTTGGAGCTATTCTGTATTTGCATGTTCATGCTTTCACGTTCGGGACTTGAAAAATTATGACTAGAATGCTGAAATATGGAATGATTGGCCATTTCAAGAGAAACAGTGGAGGTGGTTTGACAATACAAATAATCAGAATTTTCGTTACTGGCATTCATGAATGCAAACATTTTCTTGCATGGTCTTAATTTTTAAGTTTTAAGCAGTTTTTAGTTGCAAATTGTGATTAATATAATGTAAAAGGTGATGACATAGGATTGTTTCCTTATGTTTTGTCCCGTGTTTTAGTGGGAGGAACTTGAAGGGGATGAGGAGCAGCTAGAGTATCTAAGGACAATTCTGAAAGATCACCTTGGGTGGAGACTGAAGGGGCAGCAATGGATGCACGAGGAGCTAGAATGGGTAGAAGAATGAGGAATTGAGCTCAATATACGTTGGGGAAGGATATAGTTGAAGAGTTGCGGCGGTGAGACTGAAATGAATAAGTTGGGCAAAAAATGGTGGTGGTGGCGGTGAGGCGAGATAGGGTGAGAAGAGAAGATGACCATCAAAGGCATTAAGCTAAAAGTGTATGAATACATTATGATTAGAGGCGTAATAATCGAATTGTGTATAGGCTATGTTGAATACATGACCATGGCCATGACCACTAGCACTGCCAACTACCGTTACCGCTATTGTTGTCTTGTTATTCTTTATTTTTTTTGGTGTAATTGTAATATTTGAGAGAAGTTAGGTTAGTTTTCTGAATTAGGACAAAGATGCGAAGTAGCTCATAAAAATTAAATCTATATTTGAATTAATCTGTCAACAAAGACTATCTGCGACTGTGAAGGAAGTCTATGTGTCACGGGGTCGGTACTTAAGACCACCTTTCGTGCGGCCTTGGATTCAGCCTTAGATCTCGCAGTAGAACCCAAGTCACCTTACTCACCCGACAAGCGCTCAACACCCGCAACAATGGCTTTAAGCCGACAAGAAGCTTGCATAAACAAGGAAGGAAAAATGGGAAGAGAATGCTTAGAGAAAAAACTTAAACTCTATATTGAATGAATTGAATACAAAGGATGCAAGAATGGATTCTAATGGATGATTTACACAATGGTGGATGGGGCTATTTATGCCAAGGTTCCCCACCCACTTTTCCTCCAAGGTTTTGAATTCAAAATATTCCTCCCAAAAGATTTCCCTCCAAAACATTTGGAAGGTTCTATAAAATTCGGTGGGGAAGGAAAATTTGAATTTTCCAGCAGCCCCCTTTACATGGGTCTGGTGGGCCGCACCCCCTCTGGGCCCCCCTGGTGTGACTGGGGCCGCGCACAGGCTGTGTGCCTGGGCTGCTGGCGGGCTGACGCGTTGAGCCCTCGTAGGCAGTCTGTCTGGCGCTGTGCAGGCCTTCGTGCTGCAGCCCTGTCGAGTCATCCTGCGTGCCGCGTACTGGCGTGCTGCGCACCTGCGTGCCACGCCCTTTCTGTCGGGTCGGCGGTCTCGGGCCTGCGTGCCGCTCGCCAGGTGTGCGACCCTTGCGTGCAGCGCACCCTTGCTGTCCGGAGGCCCTGGGCCTGTGTACCGTGCGCCCATGTTCTGACCCCCCGCATGCCACAAAACCCTTCTTGGCTGGCGGCCGCGGGCCTGCGTGCCGCGCGCACATTCTGTGCGCCCCCTCGTGCTGTGCACCCTTACTGTGCGGGTTGGCACCCCTGCACGCGTTCTGCCCTGTCCGTCGGGCTGGGCTCGCCTTGGAGCAGTTTGCTGTGCATCCTTGCCAGCATCCTGTCGGGCTGGCCGCCCAGAGTCCTGTGCCTTGCCGCCCCTGCTAGCCTTGGTCGGGCCGGCTCGCTCATGGGCCCGAGCCGTGCGCCCTTGCTAGCATCCTGTCGGGCTAGCTCGCCCAGGGGCCTGTGCCGTTTGCCCTCCTGGCATCCGTCGGGCTGGCTCGCCCAAGGGCCTATGATGTGCGCCCGGTTGGCTCCCTGCTGGGCTGGCCCGCCCGGGGCCGTGTGCCATGCACCCCTGCGGGCATGTTGCACTTGCCTTCCGCTATGAAGTGAGGGGTTTGCTCCCAGCATACTTCCCCCCACTATCGGCACCTTTGGGACTCCCTCGAGCTACCTTTAAGGCATTGAACTTGCGGGTCACGTGCATTTATGGTGTTGGTGTACCCTTTATTATTATTATCAACAATTTCAATTTCAATTTGCAAACAAGTTTTGTTAGAAATAAACAGTTTGCTATGGTTTTTTAGTTAACAAGAATCAGCGGAATTAGAATTGAAAAAGCCAATCAAAAAAGGATGGTGATTGGCGACTAGGTGGAGGAGGTGTGGTGAAGCTGGTCACAACATGCAAAAGTAATGGCCCACATCTCTATCTGTTTACGCGGAGTCAGCTGTTATTATTTGTCGGCAAACCTGGAAGAGCATCTCAATTCTCATCTGTCATTAGCTAAATTAAAAGGGGGTCGGTTTATTATTTATTACGTGCTTGCCCTGCTAATGAGAAATTAATAAGAAGAAAGATAAAAACATTTTCTTTCTCCCCAATCTCTCTCACTCTCTGCTCTCCTCTGTGTGCTTATCTCAAGGCTTAGATCAAGATCAAGATCAAGATCGTTTCTTCCAGGTAAATCCATCTCCTCATTCTCTTGATCGCATCCGCATTCGGATGTATGAATATGATCCATCACCTTATAGGAATGGAGTAGGACTAGTAAACGAGTGCATATTAACATACTAGACTACTAGTATTATATATGAAAAAATTGTCATCTTGCCCTTTGCGTCTGAAAACGGTGATGATCTGGATGGATCTTTTGCTGCTGTTTTAACAATTTCCTGATTTTCATGTATCAGATCACCATTTTCTCTCAATTGTTACCAAGCTCTTCGTTTTTCTCTCAATCTTTTTTCTTTTCTTTTCTGTTCTGCCTCTTTACTGTTTAGACCAAATCCTTAAGAGTAAGAGTCTCTCTCTCTCTCTCTCTCTCTCTCTCTGCTTTCTATTCCACTTCTTCATCCACACACACACAAACCTAGACATAAAATCCCATCTTTTTTTACTTGACAGTCACAGAAGAATACAGATCTATTTTCCCAATTTATCTAGTACTTAGTGTTTCCTGTATTTTCTTTTATAAAAAGAAAAATGTTTGGCGTATTTTCTTTGCTTTTAAGTACCAGTTTCACTTCGGACCGAGTCCATAAGATATAACTACATTAATTCATGTTTTGATTAAATAGTTGGAATCTTTGCTATTAAGGTATGGCATCATCCGATAAGCCAGAACTAACTGAAAGGGAGGTTAAGGATGACAAAGAAGACAAGGGTGGATTTATAGAAAAGGTCAAGGATTTCATTCATGACATCGGTGAGAAGATCGAGGAAGCAATAGGCTTTGGTAAGCCCACCGCAGATGTAACTGGGATTCACATCCCTTGCATCAATCTTGAGAAAGCAGACATTGTCGTTGATGTTCTCATAAAGAATCCCAACCCCGTTCCAATCCCTCTCGTTGACATTAACTACCTCATCGAGAGTGACGGAAGGAAACTCGTTTCAGGCTTGATTCCAGATGCCGGAACCATCCATGCTCATGGCGAGGAGACCGTCAAGATACCAGTTACTTTGATATATGATGATATCAAAAGTACATATGATGACATTAAGCCTGGAAGCATCATTCCCTATCGGATCAAAGTTGATCTCATTGTTGATGTTCCTGTTTTTGGAAGGTTAACTTTACCACTTGAGAAAACTGGAGAGATCCCTATACCTTACAAGCCTGATATCGATCTTGAGAAGATACACTTTGAGAGATTCTCTTGGGAAGAAAGTGCTGCAGTTCTTCATTTGAAATTGGAAAATATGAATGACTTTGACTTGGGACTCAATGCACTGGACTATGAGGTATGGCTATCTGATGTGAGCATTGGAGCTGCAGAACTCCAAAAATCCACGAAGATTGAAAAAAATGGAATCAGTTACATCGACATTCCTATCTCCTTCCGACCTAAGGATTTTGGATCTGCTCTTTGGGACATGATTAGAGGAAAAGGAACAGGTTACTCTATGAAAGGTCATATCAATGTTGACACTCCTTTTGGAGCAATGAAATTACCCATCAGCAAGGAGGGTGGCACAACCCGCCTTAAGAAGAACAAGGATGATGGTGGCGATGATGACGATGATGATGAATGATGAATGATGAGGTATGTCAAATTTCTTAGTTACTTGTTAAGTTTTACTGTTTCAACCCTAGTTGGAATGTGTTGTCATTGCTGTTTTAGAATTACCTTTTACAATTGTTCATTTTCTCTGAGTGTATTGGCTAAATAATATAATGAGTAAATCTTACTCACTCTGACCGACTTCTATTTTCCAAAGTATGAACGGTCGATATATAAACGGAATTCTATGTTGCCTTAGTTTGTAAGTTGATCCTTCTTTTGGGATTTTGGATGTTACTCTGATAAAGCTTTGATTTTCATTCTTCTTCTTCCCTTCGGGACTAACGGAGGGACCTTATGATATTACCTAACAGCACCATCGTAACTCTTTACTAACTAACTGCTCAGATCTCTCCTTTGCAATTTCCCTTCCTTTTTTTTTTTGCTTTCAAAAGCAAAAGGCCAGTGTTTTTGGATGTGAAAGCAAATTATTTTTGAAGAATTAAAAGTGACAACTATACTTTAGCAGCTTTTAAGAAGAAAAAGCAAAAAGCATAAGTAACAAACAAAATGGAACCTGAGTAACTTTTCAACACTCTTGATGATTGAGAAAGCACTAATTTTGGATATGATAAAATTCTTGAAACTTCCGGGTTAAAATTGGTAAGAGCCACACTTGAAATGCATGCCCTTGAAGATATTTCCGTAACATATTGATACATCATTTTGGTATTAATGAATATCAGAGTAGGTATGTGACTACTGCTTCTTTTTTCTTTTGAATTAATGAATATCAGAGTAGATATATGAATAGTGCCTCTTTTTTCTTCTTTTCCTTTCTTTTATTAGTTGTCAGGTTTATGCATTGTTTGGTTATGTAACTCCATATTGAAATATTTTAGTTGCAGGATTGACAGGGATGGCCCTTTTGAGTATCTTTTGTTTCGTCATAATAATAGAGTGTTGAATTTAATGTATTAGACTGTGATGGTAACATGCACAAGAATTATGGAGGAGTTGCTACCCATGATTACATGTATGCGTGGGGTTTTATTTTGCAGAGCTATTTCACTGGTGAACCTCTTGAACTTGTGTTTGAATTTGTTGTTGTAAGTAGTGTTGTTTTGTTTTAATTTGATTCCATGTGTTGATCTTTAAATTTTGGCTGATTCAAGTATGAACTGCGAGGCCTTTTTGCAATAACAATAATAATAATGAAGCATTCATGTCCTCAGCATAAGGGCAAATGATGAACATCAGGTCCGATAGTATTTCCATTAAACATAACTTGTGAGATAGGCCGATATGTCATAAAGCACAAACCAAGATGTGAATTTTGGCAATGTAGGTTGAGAGGCAGCTGAAAATGGATGTAGATGGATTTGTTTCATTGTCTAAGCTACCTACTACTAGTTAAACAGCTTTCAAGTGTTTAGGACCATTGTATGGTTGGCACTGCATAAAGCTTCCCGGATGCTTCCTATGCTACATCAAAGGGTTCCTATTGATAAATCATTATTGGAGCCTAGTTATATTATCTTCAATGGGTCTTTCTTTCTTTCACCACGAATCTAGTTATTATTATATTATTATTATTCACTCGATAAAAAGAAGGAAAGAAAATTGAACTACCCTCAAATGCCTGCGTACTCGTTAAGTGAACCCTTAACCATCTAAACCAGTCCCAGACTCCAGGCATAATTGCGGTGAGGGCTTCAAAACCTGTAGTCTTGTCCTCACTGGCTCCTAGCTTCTTATAAACAAGTCAACAACCAAAGTATAGTTAAGATATTGTTAGTTATAGTAAGAATAATAAATAAATAATATAAATATTGTTATGAAATAAATTTAAAAAAACAATTATAAGATAAAGTATTTAGAGGGAAAAAAAGTATTTAGGGAAAGAGAAGAAATCTTATTGAAGTGTGTATACAAATGAACTAAGAGGGTTTATTTATAAGCAAATAATCCCTTTATAAGATGAAGATAACACTTAGAGATTAATGAGTCATATTCTTAATATAATGGATATTCAATGGAGAGTGTTATGAATATTTTGTGAATATTCATTAATGTTATCTATATCTAGATTTGATGTAAATCAAATTAATATTTATTAATTTCTATTACCAATCAAATGATCAATTCCTTTTTCAGGACAAGAAAATCACTAATAGATATATTTATTACCAATCATATAATCAATTCCTATTTAGGGTAGACAAATAGCCTATATCAACTTGGTCATATTAAATTTATCACAAGATGTTTCAATTTTCAGTGATGCTTGATAAAATTTAAGACGTGCAATAGATACGTGACCAATGATCTTTCATGCCACATCAATAACAATATGTTTTCTACATTCATTTTATTCTTTTCATTATTTATCCACTTCTAGTGGGTTATAAGTGTTCATCCACTTCTTGATGGGTTATACACTTCTGGTGGGCTAATGGGTTAAGGTATTCATATACTTTTGGTGCGTTAAAATTATTCATCTATTTGTAGTAGGTTACAAGTATACATCCACTTTTGGTGGGTGATTCACACATGATGCGTTATCCATTTCTGGTGGATTATGAGCAGTTCACACATGATGCGTTATCCATTTCTGGTGGATTATGGGCATTTATATTTTTTTAGAGTAAAATTATCTATCCACTTCTAGTGGTAAAATTATTCTTAAATTCAGATGATAAAATATCCATGTAAATTGTTATGGCCATCATAATTAAATGATATTGTATTCACTTCAAGGAATTGATGGATTCATGATTATGACTATAATTATTAAATGATGTCACATTCACTTCAAAGAATGAATAAATTTATAATTTTTTATTAGTATCTCGTTTATCACATTTATATCAGAAAATGAACATTCATAAGTTTTATTAGTAGCTTATTTGTTACATTCACTTCAGAGAATGGACATTTATGATTTTTCATCAATAGCTATATAATAGCAAATTTATTTTCCAATCAAAAGACGAAATATAATGTATAATAATAAAATTCATATTAAAGTTGATTTTAAGAAAATGAAAATACTAAAGAGATATCAAGTAACTTACCTTATTTTTTTTAAAACTAGAAATCTAAAGCCCAATCATTGAAATCTTTTGAAGTTTGAAGATAATGAAAATATAATAATTCTAAAACTTAAGAGTTCAGATAATCGTGTTAATAACGTGTTATGAAATAAATCTAAAAGAACAACTAAAAAAGAAAGTATTTAGAGAGAAAGAAAGTACTTAGAGAGAGAAGAAATTATAGACAAATGAACTAAAGGAACCTATTTATAGACAAATAATATTTTTACAAGATGAAGATAACACTTAGAGATTAAATGAATTATATCTTAATTTAATATAATTCATTTAATTTGATTTATATTCAATCTAGATATAGATAATATTAATAGATATTCATAAAATAGTTATAACAAATATGATAATTATCAATATATATTCAAACTTGAAATATCAACGCTAAGGTTTCCCCAGCCCCGTTGCATGTAGACAAAGTAGACCCCACAGCCCACCACCACGACCGTATCCTGGGTTGCATCGGAGTTTATTTTGTCTGTAAGTGTAACTACATTCCGTCTTACTGTTGCTGCCCAAACTGCCATGCTTAAGTTTTTACTAGTCGCAATTGCACATGGACATATGAAAGAAAGTATATCATGTCGTGATGATACTTGTCCCAGGAATGGAGAGCAATGAACTTGGCTTTGCCTAGGGATGGAATGGAACGGAACGGAACGGAACGTTGACACTTTTACGCTTGACTGTACGAGGAGCGTGGAGGAGTTTTATTAATTTCTGTTATTTTCATAACATATTATAAAGAAAAAAAAAGGGATACATATATGGATGTATAATGGCATTGGGGTGTAGGATTTGCAAGTTGCATGATGAAGATCCATTGAATGAATGAATCATCAATAGAAGAAGATCCACAGGGCAGCATTGGCATGTGGCCATCTATCATCTGTCATCTATGCATGCATCTCAGCTCTCATTCACTATTTCTATTTGTGGTATCTTATTAATACACGCAGATGCAGAAGAAAAACTTAATTGTGATGATCACGTAACTTTGTTTTAACACAAGCACAAGAATTGCGTGTATAAATTACATGTAGTCCAATTGGGAAAAAAAGGGGGCTTGCGAGTCGTGATTGTGAAGCAAATGTAAAGTAAAGTAATGTAATTTACGTTTGATAATATTGATAGAAAATTGGAAAAAGAGTAAAGACGGGGAACAGAGTGGGACCCCGAATGACATTTTATGTGAAAGACAAGTAATAAAGAAGCAGCCCAGGGGTGAAGAACCTTGGGAGTTGGGAGACAACACCATCCCTCATTTTCCAAAACAGGCAGCTTGCATGTCAGCAATTAAACCACAGCTCTGTGATCTATTCACTGAACCCACCCAACCTTTTCTCTCTCTCTCAGCATTCAAACTATTACCACTAACTCACCAGGCGAGGCCTGCAGCCTCGGCCTGCTATTATTGTATTCAATTTTGGTTCTTCCAGATAGAGAGTAACATATCAACAATCGAAGAATATTACTTTAAACAAGACACCAGGACCAGGAGAAGAGAGAGAGAGAGAGAGAGATGTATCATTAACACAAATACAGTGCAACCACCCAAAATCCATCAGAATTCACCCCTACCCCTATTCCATATTCAGCCATCCCTCCTTTTCACCCTCCCTCATTCCTTCCTCGTTATCCCCATTCTTCTCCTCCACTTCTTCTTTCTTTTCAAAAAAATAAACATTAAAATTGTCCCAAAGCTCCTATCTTTGCCTTGTCACTCCCTGTTGTCTCCAGATTTGCTGATGCTTCCCCAAATTCCCTTTGCTGCTGCTGTGGTTGAATAGCAAGAGATTAAGAGGGTTTTGAGAGGCTGAAATGCTAAAAGTGCATGACCGGGCCTTCTCTCTTCCTTGTTCCCTCTGTTGGAAAACCTCCTACCATTCAAACCGCCACCTCTACCATCACAGGTATTCCCCGCTCCCCAGCTCTCTCACTCTTCCTTGTATAATTCGTTTCTGTTTAATATGCTATATATGTACATGAAATGAACTTTTTAATTTTTGTTTTTTTTTTGCTTCTCTCCAAGCAGCTAGATCTTATTTCTGGGTACCTTTTTGTTCTCTAGATCGCAGTCAATTCTTCAGCTTTTTGACCAAATTAACATGATGGATCAGATTTTTTTGCTTTAAGTGAATTTTACCCGTCCAGACATATGATTCCTTTTTATTTCCAGTATTACTGATGTAGAGTGGTTCAATTACCTTAATGTTCTTCATTTCCTAAGCTTCTGATGCTATGATTGATGGCTCGTCTTGGTCTTGAATTGATTGAAATCTTGGAATTAATGCAGCTGGATCATTGGGGATAATGTTTCATGGCACACAGCCTGAAGTCTGCTGAATCCCCGCTTAAAGATAGATATAAAGATTTTCGTTTACAGTTGCTTCAAATTTGCTGATGCTGAGTTGCTAACACCTGAATTCCTTGAATCTGTGGTTCCGCATTCTTCAATCATAGTTGCATCCAATACCGTTAGAAGTTGCCTGACCTGGACTGCATTGCAGAATCTGATTTTTGCTTAAATCACATTGTGCGTAAAGCTTCCTCTCCTTGGTTTGAAGAAACTTTCATATTTTGCCGCATTTAGTAATCTGGATTTAGCTACAACTGCTGCCATTACGGATTATTTTTCTTTGGTGCGAAAAAGCCAGGCATCCACTGCTGAGGCTTGGCTACATTTTAGAGTCTGTCGCTCAACTTCAATTCTTGCGTTGGAGACAACTTTGTACTTATTGCCTAAACTTGGTCAGTCTCCATTCTAGGTTGACTTGCTATATCGTTGCATTTCGAAGAGAGTATCCTGGGTTCCACCGAATTGGATTTATCTGTATTACCATCTGCAATCTGCAATCTGCATAAATCATCATCGACATCATTGATTTGGCTGTGATTTTAAAACTTATTAGCTGAAAAAGGGCTTAATCGGATCTGGGGTGTCAACCAGGCAAGTAAGAGAATTTTAAATGAGAGTTGAACTCTTTGGGTTGAACAGCATATTTCCTAGAGGTTTTTTTAATCTGCAAGATCGATACTCAAATAGCATTATGAACATGAGAGCAGGAAAAGTTCCTACGTCGGTTGTTGAGAGGAAAAAGGTGGAATATCATCGCACCTTCTC